AGAGAGAGAGAGAGAGAGAGAGAGAGAGAGAGAGAGAGAGAGAGAAGAGATTGATTGATTTACTTGTAAACAATTCCCATGACATATTATTCTGATTCACTACTTCAGCTAAAAGGACCAAGTAATACCAGACATGAGCCAGGAGGTGGGAAAAACCATAAACCATCCAACTATTGTAAGACCACATAGAGATGGTACAGTTTAGGAAAAATATAAACATTTTACACAATGGATCACAAGGTACTGAAAATCCTGAGAGGTAATAAAAGCTAAAAATGAAAAGATACAAAAAATTTAAAGTATGTGTATCAGTATAGCGATAGTCAATTATGAAAATTAGTAATGATTAAATGACATTTCCACCTTTTAATAGTAAAACTGGTGGGCAACAGGCTCATCCAAAAATGTCCCAGAAGTATAATATTTCTTATATTTTCAGATAACAGTAATAAAGAAGTATAAGATGCAGAGCAATGATGAAAACCTCCCCTACATCCTGTGTTAAGTCAGACTTACTAGCATTTAATGAGATTTTGGTTGGGTCACATGATTTTAAAAAAAGCTATTGTGAACCTAGGTATCATATGGTGTAGCATAACAGGCAAACGGGAAGATGGCTGGAAAGAAAGCAGCCTATAATGTCCAATGAAACACATTAAAATGGCTGAATCTAAACAAGGGTATCAAGGGACCAAATTACATGCCCAATCTACTTAAGGCATTTGCAGAGCAGTAACGACACTAAATAGGTTTAAATCCAAACATAAAAATTCCTGATTAGAAGCAAGCTTCTTCTAGCCTGTCAGAGACTATTAAACTGGACAATGGCTGGAGGTCTGAGATCCGGGAGACAACAGACAACAGACAACCGCCTGACTTCAGTAACTTGGGACAGTCGCCTGCAACTGGAGGTCTTCAGAAAAGTGATGGACAGACAGTGCGACTGGTCCTGGGCCAGTCAGGGCCGATGAGCCACCCTCCCACCTCTCCCCCACTGTGCTCATTTTATAGCCCCAGGAATTAAACGGAAGCCCCAAGTTCCCAGCTCCCTTTAGCAATAGCCAACACAGAATGTCTGGGCCCAAAGAGGGAGTCCAAATCGCTATTCCAGGTGTTACTGTTAGAACGCAGCCCTTCTTTGGCCAGTGACTTTATTCACCCACAGGAATGTGTTCACAGCGTGAACTCATCCAGCTATGACTAAGGACTGGACTGTCCCGAACCGGCACGGTGGGGCCAGGCCAGGCCTTTTATGAATGGCAGACCCGGAGCAAACAATGCTTCTCTCAAGGACCCTTATTCCTGGGCAACAGTTCTGCCTCGCACTTACGCGTGACATCACATCCTGAATAACCATGCCACAGAGGATGTGAGTAATGGCTTCTTCCTGCTACAAGGCAGCCAAACGTGAAAGAATGTGTCCCAGAGCTGTTGGAACACAATGGGAACAGCAACACTGCACATGGCATGTGTCAGATAGGCCCTCGTGGCATAACTGAGCTCCTACATCACCCTGACATGTGACGGCTTCCTAGATGGCCGATAGGATGTTCACAATAGGAAAAAGAGAAATGGAAAAGACAAATAAGTAAGAGGCTAAACAGGTGAGTACAAACTAGGAAATGCAAGGCTAAAAATGAGCTGTTTTTATAGAAGTGTGTGACTTCTGACCATGTCGTCTGCTGACAAACAATATGAGAACAACATTCTGTTTTGAGCTGAGGCAGAACCTTTGTGCATTTATTGACAATTTCTGATACGTTAAATATGACCATTTTACACACCCACATCTCATTACATGTAAAGATAGGACAAAACATGGCGGAAAAAGACACTGTATTACTTGACACAAACACCATTGTCCATACCTCTTAAACACTTTCCAAAATAAAGACATGGTGAAAAAAAACATTTAAACACACTCTGATATAATCCAGGAAATCAAGACTTTTCTGCTAATGAAAAATGTGCCAAAATAAGATACTTGGGTAAATACATAATGCTTAGTTATGTTTTCCTATAATTTAGGTAACTTAATTAAAAGAAAGTTATGTCTAATGTTAAAAGTGATAAATATTTTGTTACATTTAGGTATTAAATCAGACAACAAGACTCGAACTGCAGCTTCTGGAACATTCCCTTTCTACAAACAAATTGGAAAAACAGATTTTGGATCAGACCAGTGAAATAAACAAACTGCAAGATAAGAACAGGTAATGAAAGAAGAAAAAAATTTATAATCCAGTATTGCACACTTTCTAGATACAAAAGCCTATTTCATGACTATCAATTGTAAGCATGGCTTCCAAAATGCCAGATTTCTTAAAGTACAGCTCCAGGATCAGAAACTTTGTGAGAGGTGGCAGGGAGAGGGTTTGGAGAAAAATACTGAACCAGCATGGCCCTGCTAACACGGTCCTCAATTCTGGTTTTCATTCTCTGGTCCCTGAAAGATTCACTTACGGTAACCATCCTCTATCTGTGCCTCAATATCGGGTAAGTTAATCTATGAAAAAATACCGCCCTGGTGTGGAGTAGAAGTTACACCAGCCTAAGCATTTTAATATTATTAACTTTACCAACTTTCTTTGCCTCTGGGAACTTGTTTTTTTCCAATGCAAAACGACCTAGAGCAGGAAAATTACACTTATATTGTAAACCAATGTCTGCTTCATCATTCAATATTTACTCCTAAAACACAGGATAAAGTAAAAACAAAAGTTAATATTAAATGTCATGATAATAATATTTAAATGAAATGTAGAATAGTCCCAAGAAAACCAATATGAAAACAAAACTTACGGCTGATCGATAGGGATTGTCTTCATAGGTTTATTCCCATTGAGGCCATGCAAAGATAACTGTCTTCACATCCCTGGGGTGCTATTTCCTTATTTCTAATCAGGACATGTATATATGACATGGAGAACAGTCAAACAACAACATACTCTTTCTATTTCACATTTAAATAATTTCAGTTAAATAATTCTTTACTCTTAAGCAAAAATGACATTAAGCTTACTGTCTTGTAATCATTCTTTTCTGCTAATCAAGTACTAAACTGAAAGAATTCTTTCTGTTTGGGCACCAATTTTAACTCATTCTTAATTTAGGGCTCCAAAATACAAATACATTTTTAATCCAAATATTTTTGTTCAATGTTTCAATTTTTCTCTTCTGCATAGTAATAAAAGTTTGAGACCAGTAAGTGAGCTATAACAATATCTCAAATGTGATTTTGCTAAAATGGTCTTATTTAATGATGCATTCTTCAATACGCTACAGTCGTGTTGGGGACACATGGGCGCTGGCTGCCTACTTTTGTCACTTGCCTGTAATGCCTGGAAGAAACTTAGGATATCTCTGGCTTGTTGAACACGCCCCAGTATTAAACACTGTTCCCTCTTTAGCTATGTAGTTTAGTACGCTACAATGCTAACATTCTCAGTTAAATAAGTCAGGTATGTTACCCAAGTATCATCTTTGTAAATATTTGTCAAATCATATTGCTCTTGGCCTTGAAAACTGTGAATCGTATTCCCGAGTTCAGACACACTGCTTGGTATTTTCACTGACTACAAGCTAACTTGGTTATCTACAGTCAGCTTGAATCGCTTTAAAATACAATCAATGACTTTTCACTAAATTTTTTTCCTCATCCATGATTTGGTGAAATTTCTTTGTATGTTAAAGCTTTACAATGTCTAAAATAGTGCTTCCGCCCACACTGAAGCTTCCTGTATTTCCTGGTTATTCTTCCTTATATGCTCCTTCACATTTTTTTCAACTTAAATGCTACACATTTCCCCCAATTTAATCTACACTGACCAATAATGTACTTTTCCAATAATTTGAATCCACTTCTGTATGAATAAAATTTAAACATCGCATTTTCTTCATAAAAGCTCCTTGTCAAACACAACTCACAAACTAAAATGTTACGTGACTTTATACTCTGGACTGCAAATTTCCAGCTCAGCCTGGAACTAAGAACTGTTTCAGAAGGACCTGCCATAGTACAGACACTGAAAGGTACAGCTTCTATCAGCTGACTTGTCATAAAAACCACACGTAACTAATCTGTACCTGCAGGAAGAACCTCTTTTTAGCAGCTGCAGAAACAATACTCTCTCGTAACAAACATGTATTGAAATGACAACAATAAAATTTTTTTTTCATCAACAATGGTAAAGAAGTAAAAATAAGAAAATTGTGCTGATGATTTTAAATCTTTCGATCAGTTTGACATGCTGTTTTCAGGTGCCATAAACCTGGACTAGATTAAGATTTCCTTGGCAAGAACATCATTATAAAATTGTGTGAATGTGTTGCCCATTTGACTAACTGTATTTTAAATTATCTTCTATAATTCTCCCAAAGTGCAATTGCTTTTGTCATGGGATAGTGTCAAACAAAGGCAAAGGGCTTATCAGGGTCACCGTTTTTCCGAAAACTGTCACAGCACTCTTAGATTCACCAGCTGAAGTTGCAAGTTACTGTGGGTCTTTTTTCATCTTATTCTTTTTCTAAAAATAAACGATTAATTTAGGGGCTACTTGTACCAGTTAAATTAAACTGTGATTACTGGTAGAGTGATTATTGTTATTGGAAGGTGCTGCCACTGCCACTGTCCCCTCCTGAGAGAGGCAACCAAAGCTCCTGATTCAGCCTGGATATTTCTGCCAACACAGGATAGTTCCCCACACTTCTGATGAGTTATATTTGTTTACAGTTATGCTGTACCTGAGTCCAACTTCTATGGTGATGATCAAATTGATCACCTTGTATCAGAAAACCGAACAAGATGCTAATGCGCCGAACTTCCAACAATGCAGGCCTTCCCCTCGCCACTTGCTTTCCCCACCACCTCGCACTATGGACCATGGTGCTTGTTGCTTTGTGCAAAGTTCTTGCTATGAATTTACACTATTCACATCTGTTCCATTCCATTTACATCCGACCCTTGAACAACTCAGGGGTTAGGGGTGCAGGATCCCCAAAGAGGGGAAAATCCGAGTATTAACTTTTGATTCCCGAAGAGCTTAACTGCCCCCAGTATCTGTGGGAGATTGGTTCCCTGACTCCCTGCAGCTACCCAAAGCCACTGCTGCTCAAGTCCCCTGTGTAAAATGGAGCAGATCGGTGCGTGCGGCCAGCCCGCTGCAGCACAGACTCCCAAACACTGTGGGAAACATACAGGTATTTATGGAAAAAATCCGTGTATAAGTGAATCCACAGTTCAAATCCATGTTGTTCAAAGGTCGACTGTGTTTAATTTCCTTTCATTAAAGAAACACTAACTGCAACGCACTAAGTTGATTTCACAAGCCAGTCACGGATCCCGATCTGCATTTTGCAAACTTGCTCTAGAATCTGAGCTTCGACGCCAGTGGTCTGTGCTTCTGTGCTTGTTTCATGTGCTCCTCTCAGAGCTGGTGTCATTTGGGAGACCCGAGGCTGGGCTGGACTCTCTAGTTCACACTGTATTCCGCGTTAAGATGAAATTTTTTAGATCAGGGAGTGACTGCCCTCTACAGCTATACTGGTATAATTTGGTGAGGATAAAAACAAAGTTTAAAAAAAAAAGTCTCTCTCTCTGAGTGTTCACTGGGTCACGTGACTGTCGCATCTTTCTTTGATGCCTCCTCAGAGAATATTAAAGACAACAAAAGGTAGTTGGATAACAAATTTCAGCAGTAACATTTTAAAGGCAGTCTAGATTCATGATTTAAAAATGCCCCATGTATTTGATGTGGGTTGTTTAGGTCAGGTATTGCAGGAGTATTTCCAAAGCACATTACCTGGATTCTCACAGTACTAGAAATGATTTTAGGTAGAAAACAGAATATACCTTTATTTTTAGGTTACCTTCTGCTTATGGTAAGTCACCTTGGTTTTTAAATTAATGAAAGTGATATACAACTTAAAAAAACGAGGTAGCAGATATCGAGAAAAATATGAAGACGACAGTTGAAAGTGGCTTTGGTAAAACTGATGACAGTCAGATATAAATGGCTGCATCACAGTAATTGATTATTTACTGACTTGGTAGATTGACAGTATACTCACTGTCCTATACGGATTTACAATGGCCATTGGGCCAGGATAAATTTAAAAGCTGCAACTGAATTTCTAATAGCTATTAATACTGAATGTTAACACTTCAAGGTAAGACCTTTAATGGGTAGTCAGTTCCTTAGCTAAGTAATGCTGTTCACAGGGTTAAATATTCAGAAAATGTCACTGCTCCCCAAAAGGCCTATGAGACTTAGATTATTTGAACTAAAAGGTTCCTTGGAGATCATCTAATCCAATGCCTTCATTTTAGCTGGAGGTTTATTTCTATAGGTAGATATTCACCTAGCTAGATACACACCAGAATCCACAGAGCAGGCAGCCTGCCCAGGTAACACAGGCGGTGACGTGAGGGGAGGTGCTTGGACCTGGGCTCTTTCCACTCGCCCACACGTGCTCCCAACGCCAAGGGCACCTTCTCATGATCACAGTCCTCTTCAGTGAAGCCTGGTCTTCAGACTCACTCCATGTGAGAACCATACGTTCTCAATGGGGACGTTTCTCCTCGTATCCACATCCCATCTATGTCATAACTACCTATCTACCGTAGGCAAATTTCAGGGCTTCTTCAGGGCTGTGGCAGCCTCTTGCTTCTTTGTAACTCCTCTGACATCTTCACAGAGGGCCTTGGAGAAGCAGAAACCCACGGCCGTGTAAATGATTGCATAGGATTATGAGGCTGATTGGATGTGTATAAAGCCCTTGGCCTTGAGGGTATCCAGAACACCCTTCACCAACTAATGACCATCTCCCTTTACAAGTTTCCTAGAAAAGAAAGTCCTAGACATGGAAGACAAGCACGTCGTTCAGCTTCAGTCCATAAAAGAAGAGAAAGACCAGCTGCAGGTGTTAGTATCCAAGCAAAATTCCATCATTGAAGAGCTAGAGAAGCAACTGGTGACGGCCACAGTGAACAACTCAGCCCTCCAGAAGCAGCAGCATGACCTGATGGAGACCGTGCACAACTTACTGACCATGATGTCCACGTCGGGCTGTAAGTGCACTTTGCCTATCACCTTATGTACAGTCACTGAAACCCAAAATTCTACAAAAAGAATAACCCTCGTCTTTCAGAAAAAGGCACTATTTCTCTTACATCTTTGATATGAAAGCTTTATAGGGTCTTGATACAAAACCGGTTAAGAACAAAGGAGGAACGGAAGGGGAGGAGGGACATATATTATATATATATATATATATATATATATATATATATATGTGTGTGTGTGTGTGTGTGTATATATATATATATATATATATATTTTTTTTTTTTTAAAGATTTTTATTGGGGGAATTGGGGAATGGGAACAGCGCTGGGGAATCGGGGAAGGGGAACAGACAAGTTGCTGTCCTTTTGCTCTTCACTGTAGTTGTGGAGGACATTGCTTCACTGGCCCAAGTTGGCACCATCGTTGCGCTCTTCTCTGGCAAGGCAGATCAGTCGCCGGCTTCTGGACGGCCGTTCACTGCGGCTGCTGGCCGCTCACGCTGGCTGCTGGCTACACACGGTAGCCCATGGCAACCCACTGCCACAGGGACTGCAGCCTACACCGTCGCTGGCAACTCACGGCAGCCCAGCTCCAGGTTGAGCTGTTGTTCAGCATCTTAGCTGTAGAGGGCAGTGTCACTGGCCCTCATATGTGGGATCCGAACCGGGCCCTCTGGCGTCCCAAGCCAGTTCTTAACCATCGCGCCACTCGGCCGGCCCAAGGAGGGACATATATTGATACTAATTAATTATTAGGAGGCCAAACACCCCAAACATACTTTTGATTCATGGGCATCAAGAGCCTCCGTTGAGGTAACTCCATCATTAAATGGATCCACGAGGCTGGGCATGTTCATTTCTTACGTGGGAAAAACAATCTTGGACCCACAGGATTTTGTGAAGATTAAATGAAATACTCCTTGCAGAAACTGGCATAAAGTTGGCATGCGAGGAATGCTGGCTCCCTTCTCTACCACGTCCTTAAATGTGTTTTGCTCTGTTACTATTTTGTTTCCACTTTGCTTATGTTGGATGGAAGGAGGGCTGCATCTTTGGTCATTAGAGATGTGACATGCGATTGTTGTGGCATTTGTATTTAAGTTTTTTCCTTAAACAAATTAGATCTAGTTCTTACTGTGGTTCATCTCATAATATCCTTTCAACTTGTATCCTTTGACACAGATACACTTTCCACATGAATCATGTTGAGATAGTCATCACTCCACAAGAAATGTGTTCTTACACTTTCCTTGTCATGCAGTTATCCCAATTTTAATAGAAACACTTAAACAAGGTTTCTACGTAAACAAGGAAACAAACAAAGAAAAACAGTAGCACAATCCTGATGCTAAGTGGCAGGTTTCACACCGGGTTGCCAGTTTGCCATATGCGCCTTCCAACTAGAGTTTCACTCTTATAATTTGGACAAAGCATATTCTTTTTAGCTCCAAAGAAAAATAAAGACAATCATCTGACATAACACGGTGGGACCAAGACAGTGTGAGGTGTTAGCTCTGATGTGCCGAAGTAGAGAGAATCACGTAGCTCAGATCCTGGCAGGAAAAGTGAGCAGAGAGCAGAAGCAGAAGAGGCTTTCACCTCCCCCACCACCTGTGACACCCACACTTGCCCATCCAGGGACCTGTGGTGGGCAGGTGTCTGAATGAAATACAGATGAATACTGGGAAGGACACACACACACACACACACACACACACACGCAGGAATGTGCACACACACAAACAGGATTGGGAAGTCTCAATATTGAATCCTGAAAGAATTTCAGAGTCCTAGAATTTTTAGATTTAGATGAAGAATTTCAAAGACATGGATACATAAATGTCAGGTTCCACTTTAATACAAACTATTATGGGATAGTTGCTAGAATCCAAATACCAAATGTCTTCATCTAATAGTCTAAAGAAATGTATAACGACCTGGCCTCAGACATATAAAAAGAAAGGGAAAAATACAGCCACGGCCTCGACAGGACAATGGCTAACGCGCTAAGCACTGCAGCCACTGCCGAGGTGACGCTGTTTTTAGGTCCGTTCTTTTTTTATTCTTCTGCAATAACTTTATCTAATTCTATTCAAGATGGAAGATTTTTTTTAAAGTGCTAGTTTATTAGAGCTGATTGGAAAGTACTTGCATTAATGTAGCTGATGATGGATTACTGGTAACAAAACCACCTTTCAGGATTAATACAAAACAGGCTGAACAGGTAACTTTTTGGCAAGGATAAAAAGCCAGCCTCTCCTTGTTTATTTCCCGTAAGGATTCAAATGTAAGGCAGCGCGCCACATGAGTGCATCTCGAAATAATCGCCTTTTACTTTTCATGAACTCCGTTTCAACGCCTTCCTGTTTTCTAAACGCAGCTAAAAGCTCCTTGGTGACTAAGGAAGAACCGATCATCTTCCGAGACTGCGCGGAAGCCTTCAAGTCAGGCCTCACCACCAGCGGCCTCTACACGCTGCGGTTCCCCAACTCCACGGAGGAGGTGAAGGTAAGGCGCACCGGCTGCGGACGCGGGGGCACCGTGCACAGTCCACGCGCCCGGCTGCTGCCCGGCTGCCCTCCAAGCAGAGCAGCACACGGCCCCCGGGTGCCCCCGGCCTGCGCTGTGGCCCGGGCTCCACGTCCAGGCTCTGCGCGTCGCCGACGCGGGAGCACCTCATTCTGTCTCACGGACACGCTCCTCGCAGCGGCCTAACCGCGCGGGCTGCCAGGAGTCTCCCTTCAAATGGGAGGCCCATTTCACCAACGTTAAAGCACGTATCTTGCAATCCCGGAGTTTGAGTAACCACAGTTTGTCCTTCAATCGTTATGTCAAGTGACAGTGGTATTCCACCCTAGAGCACAGGGTGCAACAGTCCTCGAGACTTGAGGCGACCACGGGGCTTTGAGGGCACAGGTGGTTTGCACACGTTTCCACACAGCAGGAAAGACACCTGCACGCAGCAGTAGGGGGTTAACGGGAGGAACGCTTTCCCCTGCTTTGTCAAAGTGGAGCTGGCTTTTGGACCATCAGTGCAAACGCCAACACACTGACCGGAACGCCAACACACTGACCGGCGAGAACGGCGTGCTGTTACTATGGAAACAGCTTCCACCTTGTGGAAGGCTCTAAGGACCCCCAGGCGCCCGCAGGCTGCACCCCGACGACGGCTAGGCTGGGCTCTTCTTACCCCGTGTAACGGAGGCGGGGACGCTTGAAAGACACCAAGCGGGGGCTTCTTCAAGGCGTAGGCTCCATGCTGTGCGGGCGGGGAGCCTGCGGTGGGGGCGGCTAGTCCGCAGCGCTGAGCGCGCAGGGCTCCTCAGGGCGCTCTCAGAGGTGTGACAGCCAAAAAAAAAATACTTCCCCAGGGGATACTTCAAGGTGGCTTCACTTAGAGGTTTGATAAGGTGGAATAATATTACGTGAGAATTAGTTACGTAAGCACTGGATGACTGTATGTGGTAAATGTCTGTAAATAAGTTGGCATCTAACTGTAAAAGCAGCTGCACACTGAATATAAACACAGAAAAAGGCACCTGATACTGTATCAAAACGGACATTTTAGAGACTCCTGGAAATATCTCCTTGATTTGGCATTATTCTCAGCAGAATAATAAAGCAAAACACTTTAAAAATAAAAGCATTAAGGGTTTAAAGACATAGCAACATGTACCATGATTATGAACTTAAAAGACAAATATTGTGTTACTCAAGATTATACTTTCCAAAGAAATCTAATTTATTCATGCTGCGTTAAATCAACCTTGAAAATCACTTAATGTCCCTAGCGTCCTAGAAGCAGTGCGTTAGGGGGAGAAAAAAACCCCAAACTGTCTGTTGTAGATGAAAAAGTAATGAATAGACTCTGTGCTAACCCTTTCAACTCCCTTTGCAATATGGTTTTCATGACAGTTCTTTGTATGCTGTTGTCTGTTACCAGGTGTAGGTCTCTCCTTCGCACAGAGACAGCAGGGCCAAGAGTGACATGAGGAGAACAGAGAACAGGGGCAAAATGTGAACGCTACTGATACAATCCCAGGGCAGTGGCGAGCTGTGCAGTCCCATCCTGCTGCTGTATCCATGTTTTCCTGACTCATGCCATGTCCCCATCCCAGGCGTTGGATCAGCTCAGTGGCCCTACTGAAATGTTCTGCAGGAAGATGAAAATACAGAGGACTCTGGGATGATAGGAGTCTCAGGTCATGGGAGCAACGTTAGGATTTACATTGCTTTTAACATTCGCAGTAAAAATTACTCACGCACGCAGCAGGGAACAACAATCTTTCAAACGTCAGTTTTCTCATCTCTAAATAAATGGTCCAGATGAAGTCACCTCTAGATTGCTTTCCAGACTTCAGACGCCATCTTCACAGTCTGATCTTGGGAGAGGAAGTCAGATAGACTTGGGTTTAAATTCTGGCTTTGCCAATTTCAAGTCATTTAACCGGTCTGTGCCCTCAGTTTCCTAATCTGCAACGTGACACGCCGTAATGCCCCCCAGTCTTAAAGAGCAGATTCGACGTGACAACGGAGGGGCACCATCCAGGACAGGACTTGGTACTTACCATCCATTTGATAAACAGTTGTTATTGTGACTGCCCCCAAGATTGGCAGACCACTTCTCTGCATGGCAGGGTACCCTGGTTTCATCTAATTCAAGAGAAGAACGTCCACTAGATCTTTGGGAGATCTTTTCCAAAAGGGCCTAAACATATCGACTTTCCTTTTGAAAACTTTATTAGGTTTTTGTACAAGATAGACACTGAAAAGATGCCATTTATGGGAAGTGCTGGTGTATGTTTCTGCTAGTGAGAGACATAAGAGTTTCCCTCTCTAATTTCACGGGATACCGGTCCCCTGATGTTTATCTTTGTGTTTCATCGGGCACTCACCCTGGCCTCAGAGCTGAAGCAAAACCATTAAAAATCGAGCATTACTTGCTAAGACACATCAAGCCTTAGAGCAAGACGCCAGGCCCCTGAACCATGCAATGGTGCGCTGACCACACGCCTACCTGCCCTCCGGGCGGCTGGCATTGGAGCACTGAGGTCGTGGGCATTTTCTAAGGGCCTCTGCTGTTCCAGCCCTGATATGAGCGTCATCATTTCCACTCACTGCCTTCTGGCTATGTGGCTAACTCTATCTGAACACTCTCTTTCTCTGCAAGTTTCATGACCCAATTAACCATAATACTGCGGTTTTCATAAACGCTGTTCTTTAAAAAAAAAAAAATCTGGACAAAGTGATATTAAGAAAATGTTGCAATCATCATCTCATTGTCCCTAATGGAGTTGGAGAATGGTATGGCTCCGATCATTCGCACACGAGCGGGGACCCTCAGCCATTGCAGAGTGTTGACTCCGATTTCTATAACGAGATGAACTCTGACTTAAACAGCAGTAACTTCATAACGGTGACTTTGATGTCACAGAATCCCTTATTCTTCGATAAGCTCAATAGGAACCTTACCGGTCCCCCCCCACCAGATGCCATTATAGGATGCAGGGGAGTTGCACTTTTTTTGCACAAACACAGCTTCTCAAACCAAGGTAGCTTCCTCAGCTAGTTTACTAAATGGATGTTTTTAGAAGACATATTGATGGACATGAGCAGTACTGACCATTCTGTGGACCACAGGCAAATGAGAGTATTCTTCGTGAACCGATTCCAACTTGGAGCTGTGTGGAGGGACTTTTGGCCAATTAACAAAAGGGCCAAGTTTCTGTTTCTGGCAGCTGAGTGTAGTGGGAAAACATTACGGAGTTAGGGATCAAACAGAGTTTATTCAAATCCTATATTCCACTCAATAGCTGAACGACGACGGATCAAAGGAACCTAACTTTACTCAGACTCTTCTCCTTTAAAATGTAGAATGATAGCTGCTGTGGGTTGATACTGTGTGCCTAGCGCAGGGCTGCGGACAGAGTGGTGCGTGACAATACGATAACTAATGATAATGGTAGTATCACTACAGGGTGATGAGGGGTTACCTTAAGCAGATCAATTTTATATGTGATTAACTTAAAATGGGGAAAGCATCTTATTCTTAATAAATGTAATTTTCTTTAACGGAACATGTTCCCAAACATGAGGATTATCGGGCCGGGGAGACGGGGGAGGTGGAGAGGAATGTGCTGGAGAACAGGGCTGGTTCTGACAGCGGTTTTCTATCCCCTTGACAATGAGACAGCAGGCGAGTGGATTAGAAGGGGACAGCAGGTCTAGGTGCCCGCTCGGTTCTCTCTTAGCCCTTATTCTTTAGGATTTTAACTCACAAATGCAGAGTAGTTCACCTCTGGTCTTACTCTGCCAAAATGTTCTGCGTTATTCCCGAAAGGACCATGGAAAAGAACAAAGGAAGAATATTTCTAATTGATTTTGACCCTTAACGTTCACAGTTACCACCTTGCATGCTGTAGGGAAGTTCATCTTCAAGTTCTGGAGAGCGTTTTCGTTCTACTCTAATCTCATTATTTAAAACTATTTATGTAATCTTATTTTCAGGGGTTTTTAATTTCATAATAAAACTCCAGCTGAGCTGAAATTGAGCATACATGCTCTTAGCCCAAGAAAGAATTCTGTGTTCGGAACAAAGTTTAAACCCACCGAGCCAGCTTGAAAGCAGAAATAAAGAGCTGGGGAGAGAAACACCAGGGGCAGTGAGTGAGCAAAGGGTGAAGAAGCCAGAAGCCTGACCGTGGGGCAGAGCTGAGGTCGCACCCGGCAGGCAGGGCCTGGGTCCCTGGTCCTGTGGGAGGAGCGGAGAAACCTGCCCTGTACCCCACAGGCGGGAAGCCTCACTGCCCCACGGCACACTACAAGCGGAGTCCTGGAAACCCTACAAGGCACGAGGACCCCTTTTCCATCCCTCCCCGCAGAGTGGGTAGGGACTGGCCACTATCAGAAAGGTTTTCAGGGCTGTGACCACGAGTCGATGGACTTGTACAGGTTGGAGGTGAGAGGTGTGGGGCCAAGCTGCCAAGATGTCCCCTTCACACTGACTCTCTAAGGGACCGCGATTTTTGGGTCAGCTACTGGGGTGGGTCTTAAGCCTAGAGCAGACGATGACAAGAAAATCATATTTTCATCAACACACCGTCTTATATTCCTGTTTATTTTTCATCATCATTTTAAATTCATGGTTTTCAATTAATTTAAAACCATCTGTTTCTTGGAAAGACCACAGAGATTTACCCCAAAGAACCCTATGAGCGCACGTCTTATTATAGGTCTGTGTGCATCTCGCGTGTCCTATTTAGGGGAAAATCGAAGTCACTGATGTCCCCATGCAGTAACTGTGCCTTTCCCGTTGGCAGGCTTACTGTGACATGGAAACCGCTGGAGGTGGGTGGACCGTTATTCAGCGACGTGGAGATGGCAGTGTCGATTTTCAGAGGACTTGGAAAGAATATAAAGTGGTATGAATATTCACTAAACCATCTGAAAATAATTTTCTTTGTGAAAAGTAACTTTCAAGATCTGCAGAATCTTCTCCAGATCCAAATCCAAAACTAGCCAATGATTTAGCACAACTTTTTTTCTTTTAACCAGAGGGTTCTTTTAAACTGGCGTTTCAGTCTCCCCGTTAAAGAATGGTCCTGCCAGTGTAACATCACCTGTGTATCAAAACTAAGGCATGCGAGCACCAGGCTTATTTTCAAGGTCAGGTTCAGCACTTGTGGGTAAGCCAGCTGTTTATCAGGGCTTTACATTCCTACAACCTTCGCTGTGTTTGCAATAACAGTGATAACGAGTGATGATAAGGGGTTACCTTAAGCAGATGGATTTTATATGTCTGATTAATTTAAGATGGGGTTTCCAATTGTTTCTGTTGGTGGCTTCCCAAGTTGTTCTAATTATCCTAACACTCACTTTCTCCCAGTGACAGCTTAGTTTCTTAAAACTGACCTTTTAAAGATCTGCTTTCTTATACGGAAGACCCCAAAGTTGCACAGTACAGGAAGGAATTTCTGCCAGATATCTGATAGCTGCTCCATACCAAATGGATGGACTGCTGATTCCAAAAGCATGGAGAGAGATAAACGCGGTGACTGAATTTACCACTTGGATTACAGGGTTTTGGGAACCCTTCAGGCGAACACTGGCTGGGAAATGAGTTTGTTTCGCAAGTGACCAATCAGAAGCGCTACATGCTTAAAATACGCCTTACGGACTGGGAAGGGGATGAGGCCCACTCGCTGTATGAACACTTCTACTTGTCAGGTGAAGAGCTCAAATACAGGTAAGGAAATGTTACGGGACTGGAAAAAGGCCAAAGGGCTTTCTGAGTGATTGTGCCAGACAGTGAGAACCCCATGGTACTAACCAGGATCTAGTTACTCTTAGATGACCTTAAATAGGAAAACTTCTTGTGTCTTAGACTTTCTTGCTGCCTGTATTGAGGTAAGTTCTTCTAGTTTTGAAATGCTAAGTCAGGTTTTAACAATCCGAGGGACACTTCATGAGGACAGTATTTTGTCTGTTCGCTTTGCTCTGTATCCTCAAAGCCTAGATGAACCCTGCCCAGCAGATAACGGGCACTCAGCCACTCTCTGTAGATGATATGAATGTGGTGTCCCTATGACAAAAATGTTGGGACAGCATCCTAACGGGTGTGTGCCTCTGACTATATCGTTCTCCTCCTAAAGGTTTTAGAAGTTAAACCTATCCTTTTGCACTTTAAACATATCCAATCATCAGGTTCCCTCACAAAGTCGGGATGAGATACCACGTTTCAAAATGGCAGAATTAGGTGGGACGGTTGGTCAGCCCAGTCCTCTGCTCTCTACTCTACCTAGAACAGCCAGGTGGCAGAGCTCCCTTCATATTCACCTTGTCCACCCACCTGGCAGTGCTAATCATGAAGGTTCCAAGAAGGCCATGGGGAACCTTAACCTGGGATTTACTTTCTAGTTTTAAAAAGCCCTGAGAGCAGAGACAGGGGTCAGCAAAGGGACTGAAAGGCTAGGACGGTGACAATCTATGGTTTAAGGCCCATGCAGAGAAAGCACACACATATATGCTGCAGGATAAAGAGGACCTCAAAGGTGCATGTGCGAAGGGACGAGAGAGAAGGGAGACGGACAGCTGGCACCATAGCAGTTGGTCTGAGAGGGCACAACAGAAAGTTCCAGTCACCAACACAGCCATGCAGGCATCCAAAGGATGAGCACAGACTGGCGGTGTGTGACCAGGGGGCACACGCTATGGAATCCCCACTCTGAGGTCAGAAACAAACAGATGGATTGGAGTAGGAACTGCACAGTAAACAGTCCCATCTAAGTCTCCTTCATGCCCAGCTCAGTAGAAATTCCATGATCTGAATAGTTTGGAACATAAACTCACTTTCAATGTCCCTGAGCTGGCTTCCTAGGGGACGGTCACAATGGACAGCACAGAAAAAAAGGGGCTGAAGTCAGCTTGCCTGGACAATGACCTGAAAACTCTGTAACGTCCGGTATACTCTGCTTCGTAAGCAGTGACTTCGGAAGCACGTTTTGAAAACAGGTCACATCGTCTGATAAGCACTGACTGACTTCTAAAACGTCAGTGAAACAGTCCATACATTCTCATTACAGAAAAAGTGGGGCTCTCTTGGGGAGGCTGCAACTCAGATGAATGAAAACATAGCTAGGTTATTGGGCCTCACTGCAGCTCCGAGTGGACTCCAAAGAGATCAAAACTTCAATGAATTTTTAGACACAAGTGGTTGGTCACTGTTTTACCTCCAAGCTAAATATTTTTTCAACTGGCAACAGTTAGAAATCTATAACAGAGAAATTAAAAAAAAAAAGAAAAAGAAAAGAAACACAAAAATTAAGGATTAGGCTGTTTACATAAGAAGATTTTACAAAATGGGTCATTACCCTTGTATGAATTATAAAAATATTTCAATCTGAGATGGTTCTTAACAGATATTTCCTTTAGAAATGCAATCAATTTTTGGATATGCCATTTTAAAAAGCACACATTCATCTAAACCTCAGTTTAATTTACTTGGCGGTATAAGACAGATATTACATTGAAAAAAATTATTATCCTAATAAAACATGTCAATGGGATAAAAGAACTATTATGTGACTAAAACTTAGAATAACTACAAATGTTCCAGGATGTCAGGTGTATGTAGCAGCTGAGTTGCTTCATTCTAAAGAAATGTGCTCCAAATGTTGGAAAACTGAAAAATACATGCTGTAAGGAACGGGTAAATGCTTCAATAGAATATGACTCTGCTTAAACTAAACACTTTTTGTCCATTAAACCTTAAAAATTGGTTCGTCACTTTTCACAAACATTCTGGCAGTTCTACACAAACACTGAGACTTAATTATTAAATGCTGGCATTGCCTCTGCCTTCACTCCACTGTTCCACTGCTCTTGAAATGCAGCGGATGCCCAGTTCAAGCAATTTCAAGAACGTAGGTATTCTTAATAACCAAACTTTAAAAGAAAGCAACTCTAACCAATGGGCCGTACAATAGAAGGATAAAAAATCACACGACCTTGCCAACAGAGACTAATACAAAAGAGTACTCTCCCTTAGTTTCCTTCCCTTTGGGGAGATGTCATAAGTCCTGTGAGAACTGCAGTTGTTCAGCGGAGACGGGAGAGGCGGAAGGAGGAGAAGCCAAGACAGGCGTTTATCTCCGTGCTGTCTGGGACGACCGAGAGGGCCTGGGAGGAAAGCAGAGCGTTCCCAAACCCCAGCGATGAGCAGAGCTCAGGTGACGCTCTGCAGCGGCCTTCAGGGGCTGCGCCAGGGGCCGGGGGTATTTCTGAAACAGGAGGATGACGCTGACATTCAGAAACTCAGTCAGCGCCTTATGAGGCAGTGCCTAGAGCCGCAACATTAAACACAGTTTTGTGCTTTATGAAACTCCATTTGACATGCTCCCGGCAGCCCTATATTTCACAACCGATTCCTCAATAAACAGTCACCCCTGGGAAGGTGTGCGCCAGGGGGGGACCCCAAGGGAGGAGCGGGGGGCATCCGGGGCCAGCCCCGGCTCTGCCTCTTACAACAGGTGACTTTGGAAGAGTTCCTACGTCTGATCCTCAACCATTTACCTGTAAAAACGGGAACACCTGCCCTCAGGTTGGTCTGGGCACTGAATGCACACGCCCACAAGAGTCAGTCAGTCCCTGAGAACTTTTCCTCTCCTCTCCACCCTCTGTGCCAACACGAATTCTTGGAAATCATATTCTTCCCAAGGTGGTGGTTAGCCAATGTGAGCATCGTTTGGGGGCTGGACGTCCAATCCTCCCTCCAGCGCTGCACGGTTGTGCTCTGTAGGGACCCGGGATGGATGCCCCAGGCTCTCACACTCCATGTACCAACCCAGTAACATGCGCTCGGCGGGGCCACACCCCGTCAGTCACGTGGGACGCTGCTCTCACTGTGCTGGGCGTACACACCTTCTCCTCGCTGGCACAGGGATCCCTGCCGCAAACCAGGCTCGTGACCTCCTAAAAGTGTGAGCTGTTTTCCAGGGTCTAACTTATTAGTACATTTATTCGTTTCTCAGTGCCTAGCAGGCTTATTACAAGGCTGTACAGAAGCAAGGCAAGCAGCCGCCAGGCTCTCTTGTCTCCTAGGCTCTGTAGCTTTCTGCTCCAAAGTCCATCACAGCTCCTGCTGCCTGCTGGCCCCCCCCCACCCCCACCGTGCAGAATAGTGATGCTTGACGCTGTCCAGCCATCTCCAGACTCTCATTTCTATCTGAATGAAGCCTGCGGACCTGGAGAGGGGACCCTCTCGCGCTTCCTTCTCCTCTTGTGTTTATCTGAGAGCAGCAGGGAAATAAATTAAAGGGCCCCGAAGCCTCTGCTGATGCTTGTTCAAGTGATACGCGCAGAAGGTTTCACGAAAACATTCCCCTTTGCCTAAGGATTTGATGATAAGTTGGTTCCTGTTTATACCAGGGCAAAAATATTTTGTCCAGAGTATGCATTAGTGCATTAACCAGCACAGAACGCCTTTCGGAAGAATGGAATTCTTCAGTGTAAAAAATTTTCCACTCCGGTAAATTGACAGCCCGAGCCAATTAACGTTCTTTTTCCCCCAACCCCCCATGTTTACAGGATTCACCTCAAAGGACTTACGGGGACAGCCGGCAAAATAAGCAGCATAAGCCAACCAGGAAATGATTTTAGCACAAAGGACTCAGACAACGACAAATGCATTTGCAAATGCTCTCAAATGCTCACAGGAGGTGGGATGACTTTCTCTCTTCCTATTTGTACTGGCAAGGACGCATCTGATAGAGTGAAAGGCTGGCTGCTAGGACTGTCACCTGTGGTGGGGACAATGTCCAAAGTTCATAAATAGACATGCTCCCTTGATACAGGAAGGTTTGTTTTTCACTCTTTCAGGCTGCTGAGTGTTAAGCTAGAATGTGATGGGGAACTGGCACTGTCAGCAGGTGGCCGTGTCTCTCCTGGACCCACCCTTGCAAGGGGGGATGAGTGGGGGGCAGAGCATGTGACATTCAGCAAGCTCTCTTAAATTTGTGCTTGCTGAGTATCAGACTTCAGATGGCCTTATTTCATTTTGCTTTATTAAGGAGGTTAAATATTCAAAAGGTCAACTAAAACGGTGATATAGATTCATTACCATAGAAATGTTTCCAATTGATAATTTATGTTCAAACAAGGAATTTTCATTTTAAAAGACTTCATTAATATATAGTAAATATGTATAAACACAAAGAAAATACTCAACTAACCTGTTTTTTTAGTGCACAAATTAAAATAGCTTATTGTCCACTTTAAAGTAGAGCTTTATTTTCAGGTTCTTGTTTTCTATCTTTCATGTCAGACTGCTTTAAAAAAAAAAAGAAAAGAAAAACATACACATGAGCCAACGACTGTTAAAACTCACTTAAAATGGCTAGATTTCTATTCAGAAACATTTAAGAGTTCAATGAGAGAAGCCAGCTTCGGATTTCTAAAAGTGTGAAAATTGAATAACTGGAACCAGTTAATAGTAACCGAGTCACGAAAACAGTCTGACAAATGCTGTTAAAACACTGGAAGATGTAAAGCAGGGACGACCTCTGCCCAAGTGCAGTGTGACGGCACAGGGCAAACTGGCAGGCTTACTCTGCAGAGACCATCATTGGATTACCAAACACTCACTCATCACTCACCCAGGGAAACCCACCTGAAAGAGCTAATATTTTGTAAACATAAGGTCCTGTGTAAACAAGTAAAAGATCCAAGCTTATCATGTGTTTGTACTTCAGTTAAGAACTGCTTACAGTCAAAAGGATTTATGAAAATAATTTGAAATGCAGAAGCTTTCATGTCTTTAAATTAATATTCGTCACAAAAATCAATCCTATGGTTCTCTAGGTAGTATATTTACATATAAAATTGTGTTTGCAATACAGGTCTTCTCTATTAGCCATAATTATCTCATAATTATGTCAGCGAAAGAAAGCTATTACACTGATGTGCAAACGCTGCCTGCAGTCCTCTTCCTACCACAATAATTGTTTTCAAAGCCAAAGAAAAGGTGTGGGGTGTGGGGACCAAACACCCAATTCCTTTTTCCCTTCTGCCACTCCTGCGCTGAACGCAGCTGTCTGCTCAAGAGAGTAGACGTGCATTAATAACCAAAGACACGATATATTTATGTACTCAAATCAAGATTTAGGGCTGAGAGTGGAAGTGGAAACGAGACTTGGTAAAGAAACGTAGCCCGAGAGAGAAAACAGGGCGGTTCTGACTACAGGGTCAGCTCCCAACCCAAGGGCTGGACCACGGAGAAACCAGCTCATGATCAGCCAGACAGTTGCATGGACAGGGAATTCTAGAGTTAAGTCAGAAAACAGGCTCCCAAATGGACCAAATTATAAATCTGTAATACTCCTGAATATTTTGAAGGATTTCAAATAAAACACAAATGTCCTATCAAATTCAACTCAAGTCATGGAGCTGTTACCGTCAGGAAAGAGTTAGGCACATGGACGATGTAACTGATGATCACAGTCCGATGGGTAAGTAACATAACGTAACATAACATAAATATAGCATCAGAATATTTTTTAAAGAAATAAAACGTTCAGAGACAACTAAAGCCGTTCTCCCAACACTTGCCGCTGAGCTAACTACTGAATTGAGGTACATTTACCTTATTTATTTATCTTACTATATGTGAGACATCAATAATAATTCTGTTATTGTTTTCTGTGTTTTAAACTTTTATATAAATGGCATTATGCTGCCATTAAAACAACACAGTGTTTTAAGATGTATTCAGATCCACGCATGCAGACGGAGGCCGTTCCCTCCCCCGCAAACCCATGGCCTCTGGCACGCTCCTGTCTCCGGGTGAGGGCGGTGCAGCCCCCAGCCCAGCCATTCAGGGTGGCTGTGGACCCCCGGGACCTCGCTGTGCCACACGCCCGCCTCTGCCCCTGGCTTCACCTCAGTGAGTGCACCACGCTAGCTTTCATTTGCTTTCTGTCTCTGGAGCTTAAAGATTCCCTTTCACCTAGCCTCACTGGGTACTTCACATTTGGGGTTATATTTTAAACAAAAAGAATTTCTTTGGTAGGGAGAGGGAAGGCTGAATCAGTCCTGCCCGCTACGTTGCTGGCCCAAGGACAGCCACCCACCAAGTCCTTCCATTTTCACACATCCACACTTCGCATCCCCACGCGCTTGCCAAGTCAGGATTGTGGAGGATGGCCTGGTCACTGCGAGGGCTGACTGGCCTTCCCACGCAGCACAAGAGAGAAGCAAGAGAAAGCTCGTGAAAACAGCCGCCACGATGGAACCGTGGTTCAACCAGCGTGCGGGTGACAGCCATGCTCCACGCCCCACGCCAAGTGTCTGCCTACTTAAAATGCATGGAATGTGACTTGGGGATTAGCTGAGAGCTTCCAACTCAGGGCTAGACAGTCAGGGGCACCTACTTCCTAATTCCTGCTGTGTTTTACTTTCACAGGCTGGTGGTTTGATGCATGCGGTCCTTCCAACTTGAACGGAATGTACTACCCACAGAGGCAGAACACAAACAAGTTCAACGGCATTAAGTGGTACTACTGGAAAGGGTCGGGCTACTCGCTCAAAGCCACGGCCATGATGATCCGACCGGCGGATTTCTAAATGCCGGCACTCCCCCCCACCCCCCAGGGACGGTGGACCGTACTGTTTCCAAAGACGTACTCCCAGAGCTCTAGCAGACACAGCTGCACTCTGTCTCCCCTGCCACCGCAGACAGACACATGCTCTACGGGGCCCCAAATTAGAGCCCTGTGCACTTCACCACTGACACCTGCAGCCCTCGAGGAACCAAAGCACAACCCAGAATCTTCACCTTGTGACCTGGTAGAACATCTGTGCGAAGATGAATTTATGCTTGCAAATGAGACTGACGATGTACAGACTCTGTTGTCACAGCCAAGAATGTTATGTGCGAGTTCATCAGTAAATAACTGGAAAACAGAACACTTAGGCTATAGAGTAGAGATAATCTTGGAAGTGCATTCTTCTAAGCACTGTTTATGGACTGTGTAAATATCTATATGTCCTCAACTCAGCGTCACTATCTTAATTAAAAGGAAGGAACCGTTCTCTAAGCCATGCAACTATATCACATATTCAGGGATTTTCTGAGAAGCGGTTGTTAGCAGTTTCATATTTGGAGAAGGAAAAACATAGTTAATGCATTTTTGCTCCTCCTCTTAGATGCTTTAAAAATTCATTTTGAAAACAGCATATTTACATATGTGTTGCCAGCTTGTTTTAAGTTAATACTCAAATATAGATTTCAAGTTTATATGGTGAAAACTTCCAGGATGCATTTTTTTAGTTTATGTCAAGATTGTACTATTTTTTTTTCCTATCTGGTTGTTAAATATGAAGGTATTTTTAGTAATTAAATATAACTTATTAGGTGAGATGATTACATTTAACTTTTATAATATTTGCAGTTTTGTAATCTGATTCCAGAATAACCGATTATGCCTCATGACAAGGAAAATTCTGATTTTTAACGAGGAAGAAAAGTATACATTTCTTTGTATACATTATACAAAGAGACTTCACTATCTTTTACTTACTATTCTAATACAGAGGTGTTTTTTTTCTTCTAGTAAGATATATTCTAGAGAAGTAGGCTGCAATTAGTAGCTGAGAAAACCCTTTAAGTTAATGCATGTACTACGCTCTACTTCTCAGGCTACAATCACCCCTGAAGTTATTTAAGGAAAAAAATCATTTGCATCAGCAAGATTTTTAAAAATGTCTACCAGAAAACTTTTTTAAAAAGTGTTTTCAAGTCCAAAAACAAAATCTGATATTTATAGTATATTCATATGGGTACAGAAAATTTTGAGAGCATGGATTTAAGCTCAAGACTGCAAAACCTTAAATTCCTAGAGTTTTAACCCTGAAGTTTCCATAGTGCAGTTAACAGTGATGAGCATGTGCAGAAGGCTTTATAATGTAGAAGTGGTTTCTCATATGTTTGCTTTCGCGTCAGGTGCTAGGAAGCTTAGAGCCAAATTTACAACTAGCTTTTACTTGATGTCTGTCTTCACCTTATACCGTTCTACCACAATTTTTTCCTTTATTCCATTTTTCTTATTTATTTTACCCCTACATGCCCACCCTACCCTCATCACAACTCAGTTTTGGAACGCGGAACATTGCTGTGTGTTTTGAGTCTGTTTATGGACTTGGGCAGAGTCAGAAGCTCCGCTTTCCCCACCATGATGTACTTTCTCAACAAGCATATTAACTGAGTGAACAAACTCCTCGTTTTATTACATTTAAGAATGATTTATAAATTCAACAGAGGTCTCAGCTTTGCATCAGGTTAAAAAAAATCTGATAATGAGAAAACATCACTGTTTGAAGGGAAACAATAAATTTCTATGACATCTGAAAGACCACATGGCAGATAACTGAGATGGGGAAATGATGATACAGGAAAAATTGCCAACAATATAATTTATATCACTTGCCCATGCAGGCAGGTTAAATGAACTTCAAAGATAAACCACACTATATTATTTAGGTTACATACGCTCTCTTTAGACAGAGGATGGGGGCATTTGTGTTTTTATTTTACGCTTCAGTTCCTTACACGGTATTTCAAACAAAGAGTCTTGCTGAGAGGAATTTTTTCTCTCCTTAAGAAAACATTTATAAAGTTGACAGGAAATCAAAACAGTAATCTTAAAAATGAAAACAAGTCAACCCAACAACCGAGAGAACTACAATGATAAAAGGCAGAGTTCAGAATTCAACTTGTTGTCATTTGATAGTCACATGGCATTTTCAAACAACCAAAAATCCATGAAGACTGGTCGCAGATAAAAATCACCATTTATCTTTCAGGTATTAATCTTTTGAAAGAATAAACCATCACAAACCAGTTAACATTTCTGGAAATGAAAGCCAGCTTCTGCACAATCCTGCTTCTAAGTAAACCTGAAATTATCTACTAAATTATTACTCAATCATCAAAAAAAATTAGAACCTGGAACGTTTCCATTAGCATTTCAAGTACTTAAAAGTCAGTTAAGTTGAAACTGAGTTTAGGAAAACATCAAAACATAAAGACCACATCATAATGCTAGCAAGCCACAATTTTTATACCTATCAGTTCTATCTCTATTGAGGGTAACAGCATTATCTTCTAAAGCTGTAGGCAAGATATTACCTTCTCAAAAATCTAGTCTCTTTTCATTTTTGTTTTTCGCAGTCCTGAGGGCTTCTGTAATGAAATATTTTGGGGACTGTATGCCCCAAAACTTTTTGCAGAATGTTCTCACATTCTCACATTTTTTCCTCACAAATAAATAGATAAAAAGTGTCCAGTTCTGTGAATATGTCTTTTTAGCTATGGGCATAATTGCACTTGATTTAATAAAAACGTGAGTCTAAATCTATGCTAACGGTAATTTCCTGAGAATACAAATTGTATTTACTGTCATAAAATAACGTCTGACTTACAGGAGCTGCAGGGAAGGAGTCAGAAAGTTCAAACGGTTCCTCGGAAATCCAGTGACCCATTTCCAAAGACCACAGTACCTGCAAGTGACACAAAACACAGAGCAATTTTAATGGGTTTATTAGGCTCTTAGTGGACAATAAACCACTTTGAAGATAGGCAAAAACAAAACAAAATGAACAAAAGCCCAGCAGCGACTACACACTCCATAGACCTGAAACAGCTGGGTCTTGAATACCAAAGTGCTGTCAGAATCTTCAGGCGGCTTAAATGTTATGAATATTAATAACCACTTAGCAATTACTAAACATCATCCAATTTCTAAACATATGAAATCATACATATTTTGTTAAGTTCCAAGTTTCTAGTTTAAGGAGTCATTATAGACAATCCTCAGTAAATATTCTAGAATCTTATTACTTAAAAAAATAAGTTAGGAGAAGATAGACAATAAGCCTAAATTTGAAAAGCAACACTTATGGTGTGTGAGTTGGTTTCTAACATTAGCTAATATTTTCAGAAGTTTTCCAAACACATTTGAAAATCCCTCCCAGACTTCTGAAGAGTAAAAGGTCTTATACATAAGCTTTTGTCAATCTTATCCTCATGTTATTTTTGAACTTACACATTTTTAAATTATCAAGACAATGTTTTCATTTTAATTCAACAATGTTTGAAATTCTGCAGTCATCTCTGCTCTATGACCAAACTCCCTAAAAATCTGTTTCCATGCACCAGTAGAATTCTACAATTAAAATATTCCAACTGAATTACATGACTCACATTTATCCCTTATCTGCAATTTCATTTCTTACATTCAGTGAATCCATTCTTTTTTTCTAGAGCTGCTACATAAAACTCATGTTCTTTTTTGCTGAATGAGTGGAAATGAGGCCTAACTCTTCCTTTTTCGTAGTTCCTAAGGTTCAGAACCACCTACGGGAAACCAGTCTTAAATATCTCCCTTTTTATGTATTAAAGCTAGTGCTTAGCTAACACGAGATGGCAATTTTTTGTTTTGAAGAAAAAGTGAGTGTGATAATGGAATAAAGAACAGGATGTAGAGTCTGAATGCTACTTCCTGGTGCTGGCCTGGACCCTGATTTAAACAGACACATCTATTTATTCAACAACTATTTCTTTCTGCTCACTATATGTTCATCAGCAAACACCTTACTGAGCGTGACCACCAATAAGGTCCCACACGGGGTCCTGGAAACAAACCCAAACCCAGGGGGAGACATAAAGGCAAACAACAAACAGTGGTTCTTCAGGAGAGTGCTGTGAGAATCTGCAGGACGAAGCCCACGGACTCAGTCCAGGAGGATGAAGGCGGGTCCACAGATGAGGCCTAAGGGGTAAGGAAGAGCTCATCAGGGAGGGGGAGAGGGAGGGGGAGAGGGGGAAGGGGAGAGGGTACTCCAGCAGAGAGAGAGGACCACATGCCAAGACAGGACTAAAGTAGGAAGTAGGTTCTTTTTTTCTTTTTTCTTTTTTTGGCTAGAGAAGAGGGTGCTGTGGAAGACATTGTAAGGTACCACAAGGACCCGGTCTCTATCCCCGTGTGCTCAGGGGCATTAGCACGTGGCAAAAGAACTGCTGGGCAGGAGAATCAGAAGATCAGCCAGAAAAGGCGGGAAAAAGAGCTCCCGGGGTGCTGGGCCCAAGATGAGATAACAGGATTGGAGTCCAGTGTGGGAAAATCTGTCTCCATCAGAGAGGGAGTAACAAGCTGTGCTCTCAGGGACCCTGTTCGAACTCCAACTAGATCTGTGTGTACACAAGCATTTTGTCATTTAATCTCTGTTGTCCTGAGTTTTATGACCTAACATCATAAAAACAAAACAAAAATACTTATATTAATAACTTCAGTGGAAGAGGGCATTAGAAAACTGGTAACTCTACACTAAAATCATGTTTCTCCCTGGTTCTTTACAGGTGGTTCAGAAATTTAAATAACTGTGTTTACCTTGCTTTATCAGTAAAGCTATGTTATCCTTTACAGAGACACATGAGCAACATGTGTGGTTCCCTACAAATCATATGCTTCGCCCAGGAAATAAAATGTAAGAAGTTTGAAAATCAGGTTCCTTTTAGACATGAGGCAATGCAGAAAAATAGTACAGTGAGAAACACAGTGTACCAGTGAGACAGTCCAGGGAACCAGGCTAAATTATGCAAGTGGCATTTGAGTACAGATAGAAACCCCATCAAAATGCCAACTGCATTTAAACAACCTCTTAGAGGAAATTTATGTTTTTCGAATCTGTCCTCTTCTAAATGTTATGAAAATAAAACCGTAAGGCATCTACAGAACTTTGGTGAACTAATAAATTTCATTTAAGTAGGTATACCAGGAATAAATATTGTTAAAGAGATAGCAGAGAACACTGATTTGTTCATGAGGAAATCAAATTAGAAATATATTACAGAAAAAAATTATAAACTTTTTGCTGTAGTACTTTCATTAGGGAAACTTATCTTTGCCTTACTCGAATGTTCAAAATAGGGAAAATACAGTTTGCAAGATAACAGTTAAGGCTGTAAGTGACCTTAAAAATAAAAAGTTAACCCGACGTATTTCCTATAACGTATGTGGATAGAACAAAAGTAATGAAGAAGCTAAACAAAGTGAGGAATGGGCTTGAATGAATACAGAGGATCCAATCCCATAAGAGCCCTTACAATGAGGCCAAGTGAGTTCAGCATCTACTGCAAATGAATCTAGTTTTGCCACTTTAAAACTGTCATTCATAAACATGAACCTTGATCTGTTTAAGTAGGAACCATTTTCTTGCCTTATCATTAGATTAACAGCTACTGATGAGACAACCTTCCATAATGCAGGACTGAATATGCAGTTAGGTCCAGACCAGGCACAACACACACGGTCTACTTGTTTTGTGTACATCTAATCATTCCACTTGGACAGCGTGAGGCAGCGCAGCTATGATGAAACCAAGCCAGAAAATGGCACTGTTGTCAAACGCAAGAACAGCATCCTATACAGCAGCGGTTCTCAAGCTTCCTAATGCCACAACCCCTTAATACAGTTTCTCATGTGGTGGTGACCCCCAACCATAACATTATTTTCGTTGCTACTATATAACTGTAATTTTGCTACTGTTATGTAAATATCTTTTTGTTTTCCGATGGTCTTAGGCGACCCCTGTGAAACGGTCGTTCGACCCCCAAAGGTTGAGAACCGCTGCTCTACAGGGAAGAAAATGAACTCAACTATGGCTAGATAGCAAAACAGCATCTTCACCAGGTGCCGATACGCAACTAAAATAATAGAATTAAAAACAATGAGAAAAGAGTCCGTAGTAGATGAAATATGCTATTTTGGAAGTTGCAAAGCAGATGAATAAATGGTAACTGACTCAGAAGGGCAAAGAAAGCTGGGATGTAAGTACCTACACAAGGAAGTTAACAGAAGTATCCAATTACCTCCTCAGATTTCCAGAAAGACAGAGAAATGGGTGGCACCAGATGCGTCTGAAGATGGGGTACAGATCAGGTTAGAAAGGAGGAACGTCCTCCCCGCCAGCCCACTCTCCTCTAAAACAAGGCCAAGTATAATCAGATGGGCGTTTCTGGGAGCGATGGTGAGGAGTACAGAGAAAACTTCTCCAGCACAGCCCTCACCCCGACACCAGGACAGACCCTGGGGCAGGAAACGGGCGTTCTTTTCTGGGGGCAATGATCAACCCAGGAAAAGAAAGACATGCAAATATTACTGACACTTGGACCTCCTTCAGTCAAACACCACCATCCACATTATGTACACACCACTCAGGCAAAAAACATCTCAATCAGCTTTTCAATCAGTGCCTTATTATTACACGTGACTTTACACCCATTGGGTAAGTCTCTAGAATGAAAACATAGGCCAAACCAAACACAAAGGGCATTCCTGGGGTCACATTGATGGGAAGTCCCAGGATAACAGCTGCTCGATAGACCTGGAGAGAACCAGTCAGTTCATACGTGGTGTCGCCAAGAAAAATACATGGGATTGGAAGAGTATCTGGTGTGTAGACAGATTTGAGAGAAGAATTATAATGCTTTTAGAAATGTTTGCAGTGAGTTAGTGATAGATGCATAGAAACTAAGTGATCGATTAATTGTCAATGATTAGCTCAGGAAAAAAAACACAAAAATTACCAGAAAGGAAATAGAATCACAGTACATTACATGGCTCAGCTCAAATAGTATTCACATAATCAACCGTATTTGTGAGTGTATGTGTGACTGTGTGTGTGTGTGTGTGTGTGTGTGTGTGTGTGTGTTCATATGGATACATAAAACTTTAAACAAAAATTAGAACCATACTGGGTAGATGAAGGAGGGAAGGTGTAGGTAGTCGTGGAAGCTATATGGTCCTATTTTAATCTTCCATAGAAAGAAGTCTATAGATAATGTCTAAAAGTAAAAAATTTTTTAAAAAGGGCAGGAAAAGCATTTTATTTAGAAGTATGTAGGTAAAATATTAGAAGGCTATTTTAAGACTGAGGATTGGGGTGGAAAATGACAGGGCAGGCAGAACCACTTTTTATTATAATCCTCATAAAGTATATTGATTTTTCAAACATGTTATTTTGGAAAATTTTAGACTTACAAAAGAGTTGCCCAACTAGTACCAAGAGTTCTCATTTACCCGTCGCCTAGATTCCTGTATTGTGTGAGTCTCCAACTTTGCTCTTCTGTTTCAAAAGTACTTTGCCAACTAGAACCAGTTTGTTGTATCTACAAAAACAATCGTGCTGGGCTTCTAACTGGGACTGAGTTGAATCTACACCTCAAAATAGGGGGAACCAACAGCTTAGAAAACATTGTTTCCCAACTCACAAAAACAGTCTCTCTCTCTCCTTTAATTTAGGTCTTCTTTCTTTCATAAGAGTTTCGTAGTTTTGACCAAACAGATTCTGCAAATATTTTGTCAGGTTTAAACTTAAGTATTTCAGTTTTGGGAGTGCTAATCTAAATGGGATTTTTAAAAAATAGAATTCCAATTGTTCATTGTTAGTACACAGAAGTATAACTGAATTTTGTATATTGACCTTGTATTCGCTAATCTTACTGAACTCAACCTACTAGCTGTGGGAGCTTTTTTGTAGCTCTGCTGCTGTTTTCTACGTAGACAATCATGTTTCCCCTGAATGGACAGTTTTAGTTCTTCCTTTCCCAATCTATACGCGTATATTTTTTTTTCTTGCCTTATTGCACTGGCTAGGACTTCCAATATAATGCAGAAGAGAAGTGAGAGCACTGAAGTTGCCTGAGCTACTGAATTGGGTTGTCGGAAAAGTCACGATGTATTTTTTCTATGTTTTTCATTGCAAAAATGCGTCATGACTTTTCCAACAACCCAGTACTTTGTGAGGCAGATTAATGTGGGTTATAATAGTAACAGGACAGCATAATCCCAAAGTGTTCGTGTGTATAAATTAATGTTTCTATGGAAAGCACAGGTTTGTTTTGCTTAATCTTGTTTTGTATCGAAGTAAAACAAAGGTAGACTGTTTTCTAGCACTGCTGCTGGCTGGTGGTCATGGGGCTTTCATTAGCTGCTTCAACTTCCTAGCCCCCAAAGAATAATGAGAAAATTCTGAGTAATCAAAATACTGTAGCTAAGCACCAGTAAATGCCACTTTCCAACCCAGAACCAATCAAATTTTTTCACCTTCATTTCTTAATATTTTCTTAAATGCCTAAGGAGTTTTCTTCAGATAAAAAAATTGAATTTCCTCAAAGTATTTACAAAAGCAAAATCACTAAACAAGGTATCCTTAATTTTTGACTTCTCAAAACATTTTTTTAAGTGAGGGAAAACAATACAGAATTATTTCAATATGTAAGTGATGAGAGAAGATTGTTATGAAAGAAACAGCGGCCTGTAAGAGGGGTTTAGGCTGCACTGGAAAAAATTAATCACCCATTTGATGATGACACACTGCTGGTATGAAAACTATCACTGCACTATGAAGCTGACTTAACTCACTGCAGAGCATTACTGAGCGTGTTGAAAACATTTATTAACGCTCAGTTTC